TCATCACGCTGTGCTTCGAGTCAATCAGTCGAAGGTAAGACGTGATCATGATCTCCGTGGCATGACGTGGCAGTTCCTCTTAAATTCGACGATGGATCGAAAAGCTCACCGCAGGGTGAGGCACTCGACCAGATTGGAGATAAGATCCTCGATGGTGCTATCTCTGGATACTGCTACGAACATGAGATCTGTTACCGTTCTCGCACATCAGGGAAGAGCGATTTCGTTGAGATCTCGCCTCACCTTACAGCGTTCACTGCGTGTACTTGCCATTCAGGTCTCGTCTGGAGTGAACCTGCTTTGTTTGGTGAATGGACTTCCAAGACGATTCAATCTTCAGTTGCTACTGCTTGGCAGGTGATCTTAACGGCTGAGCCTGGTCATGTCATCATTCACCCAGTCATTCCTGCAGAATGGCCTCAAAAGGCAGCATGAGCCTTTTGGCATTTCTGTGCTGAGGTTTGCCGCTGGCAGGATGATCGAGGATACTTTGTTACCATCATGTCTGAGTGCAGTCAATCCCTTAAGTGGAGAAGCAGCATGACGTTTGCAACTTTCAACAACAAGGGGGAACAAGTGCATGGTGAGCTGTCTTTTCTCACGAATCTGCCTGAAGGATCTCTTGCTCGCTTGGAGTCATTGGCGGATTTCTGTGATTCCTTCCTCGACCTTGTTCGATCCTCGGTTCACTGTCTTGTTGTTCCGACATCTGGTTGGTAACAGATACTCCGGCTCGAGGCAAGGCTATTTGTTTGAAGATATCCTTGAAGACTTTGGTGATGGAGCTTTGTGCGCCTTGTGTTTGCGATCGGAAAGAAATTCTGAAGCATTGCCTGTTCTTCCTTCTTCAGAAGAGATTTCGCTCTTATCGAGTAACTCGAAGGGGAAGCTGCCGCAGTCGCCTCAGTTTGTTGCGCCACAAAGGTTTGTTACATCGTCTCTTGTCCAGGCTCTGTCGTACATTGACAATATGCTTCCGGGTACGGAATTGGAAGTGCACAGCACTACTTCTCACGATGCTGCTACCTTGCGGCCGATCATCAAGAAGTTCGAATACTGCAATGTCTACAGGGGCCCTCTGCATTGATTCATCGTCATCCTGATGCAGTTGTGATTCTGTGGAATAAGGGTGTTCATGACCATGTCTTCTTCTTGACGATGTCGCATAAGGGTGCCCATGACCATGTCTTCTTCTTGACGATGTCGAAGCTCCTTCCATGTCGCAATGATATGAAAGCCCACAGTTGGTCCATGTTTGTGTTTCGGAATGCGACGAAAGGCTCGTCGGGGGCCTGATGTTGGGTTGGATTTCACGGATCAACAGCACCTGCTCCTGACGTGCAACCACAACCTCCTGGTGCAAATGACGATGTGGACTATCCAGGCTACGAGGATCCTCATGGTGAAATGCCAGTGGACGATGAGGAGATGCCACCGCCACAAAGCCAATGGCCTGAACCCGATCTTGATCATGATCCGATAGAGCTTGGCTCTGGCGGTAATCCTCGTGGAGTTCCTCCCAAAACCGGCACGCAAGTGCCGGCAACAGATGGAGAAGACTAGTACCTGGATATGCCTCATGATCCGTCTGGCGACGGTGGAGGACCTCCTCCAAGAGGTGGTCCACAGGGACGGGACCTGGCTATGGCCCCTCGCCGGATGAAGCGCCTCTTCCATGGAGTACCTTGATGAGCCACCTCCTCCTCAAGGTCCGCCTAGTGCTCCAGGGCTGTTCCGCAGCACGCTAATCTGGATCAAGTGTTAAGCTCACCTATCCCCCCTACAGGTCCTCTGGTTGCTTCGGTGCCTGGTCAGGGAAGAAGGATCCCGTTCCTTCAGGTGACTCCCCGGTTCATCATGAACCTGGTTCTTCGTCTTCTGGACCGGATCCGGTTTCCTGGCTTGCCGGTGAGGACATGGACTCGGACGCCACTGTTGATTACCATGAAGATAGCTTGCTTGCTCTTGCTAGTGGTGACGACGATGCCGTGATCCTTTTGCCGAAGAACTTTCAAGTGCCTTCGTTTGTTCCTTTGGACGGTGACGGGTTTGCGTCGTGGTTGACTAAGCCTGACTAAGCAGGACAAGGTCGAGGCTGGTACTGTAACGCCGGCAACGCAGCAAAAATATGCAACAGATTCGCGCTGCTAAATTGGAAGAGTTCAAGAGTTACTTGGACAATGACGCTATCCGGCTGACGGACCGCCGCAAGCTTGGTCGCCATGATATATTTCGCACCCGACGTTGGGTCCTTACTGTGAAGGTTGACAAAAACGATCATTTTTCCAAGTTTGAGGCCCGTTGGGTCTGTCGGGGTTTCTAGGACAAGTTTGCCTGGGACCAACAAACGGACAGTCCTACGGCGACTCGGTATGGTTTCCATTTGGTCGCTCAGTGTGCGGCCAAGCACTATTAAGACCTTTTGCATTTGGACCTCAAAACCGCATGTCTTCAGGCGGAACACTACAATCTGTAATCTCGAATGGTCGTGGATCAGTTGCCACCGGACATCGGCGTCCGGTCGATAAGTTCCTCCGTTCTGTCGGCCTTGAACCGACTCGCCGCCTGGGAATAGATCACAACGCCGCCATCGCCAACAGTTCGGAGTGTGTGGCGAGGCATCCAGGAACGACTCTTGAGGTAGTTGTTGTATTCCGGAGCACCCGTAGCCAAGTCCACACGGACGTGGCAGCCCATGTTAGGGGTCCAGAACACTTTGGATACCTCCGCGCGATCCCTCTCCCTGAGGAGAGCTTTCTGTGGACGAAGAGTCGTATCCTGCCGCAGCCATAGCTGGAAACGGAAGTAGAAGTTGTGGGCTACTTTCGCACTAGAATTTGAACCAGCCGATTTGAGCAATGTAGGCACATGTCAAAGAGACCAACAACTCTTCAAGCACGAGTGTACATGCACTGCATTGCACTGACAGCTCACACTCACAACCGCTCCTGCATGAACATGACGTGTTGCACTGAATCAAGAACTGCGTACTCCTTTCCGAGCCAGGCATTCAGAAAAGCTTTGTGCTCAATCATTGAACGGAAAGGAGGACGCGAATCAATTTCCTTCAAGCACCCGCTTTGAACAGAATTCAGGAGGCTTCTAAGATTAGCACTTCGTTTCGTTAGACAGTCAGACAAACAGTGTTCGGTGCGCGCAAGAAAGATCGGCGATAGCTCCTGAGCAAGCCTCCGTCCTCAACATCATGTGAATGGTTTCCTGTTGTTCCGGAGAGGAAGTTGTGGAAGCAGTAGAAACAAGATTGTTCACATCAGTCCGAGTGTGAATCTCAGCACCCAATCCACTGTTATCCTTCCACAAACCTCGGAGCATCTGACAGGCGCCAAAGCACTTCATCAGGGCGTACAAACTCAGCGACAGTGGTGCTAAGGCTCGTTCGTCTGATCTCAGTAGATTCGAAGAAGACCCAAGAGGCTCGGGTGTCTCTTCGGTTCTTGACCGACCCTTTCATCTGCAATAAAGATCGTCATCGCACACTGGGATGACTTGTCGCTGTTGCTCCGAAAAACTGCGTCAGGTATTCCAAGAATCCTGGGTGATCCCTTCGCAGGCCGCGCCGCAATTCAACCTCTTCACTGCGAATCTGTCGACACAATTTGTTCAACTGTTTGCAGTGACCGACGGTTGGAGCAGCAGATGCTGAAGCCAAACGGGAGAACGGGTAACAAGCCTGAAATGGAGTCCGTGACTGCAACCACTTTATGCTACCGAGCAAGGATCGATACAAGCATCAGCATCCTTGACATGCTTCGGAGTGACATTCAATCTCTTCAAGTTCATCGTATGTGACATACGTGCATCGGTCAGCTCGAGATCGCATATGGCCACGTGATGCTCCGGCATCATCCATCAAGCTTAAGCCAGTGAGCATTAAGCGACATCCTGGACATCAGGATTTTGCAGCATACTTTCCACGTGGAGCAACAGCTGCAAAAACTCTTGGAGGGCCAATCGGCCATCCTGGAAGTCCCCTTCTTCAGCCGCGACTGATCTAGAAATTCGAGCTCCTCTGCTGCTGTGCTGGATGTCTCAGCGCCACCGAGCTGGACGAGACGTCTCGGGACATTTCCGAGGTTGCCAAGTTGCACCACGAGCATAGCAGCTGGGCGGTTCGTTCCTCTAAGCAAATTTCTGGAGTTTTGAGGCGCAACGACCGGTTCGTTCTCGGCAAGTCCATGGAACTTCGGATATCCGCCCGTTCGCTTGGAACCCGAGGAAGTTTTTCTCCTTCGTTATGGCCAACCCAAAGGGCAGATTTCAGAGCTCTCGTCTTCGACAGGCTTCTGTCGTCGGGTGTCGACATTGGAATCAGTGCCATCCAAAGGCACCACCGTGGCCTTCCCGGAGGTCGCTCGGCCTTTTCCGTGGAGAGGTGTAAGCAGCTCGGCTAAAATTCCATGCCTCCGATAACTCGAACTACGAGTCCATTCGGAACCTGGCAGAAGCACCGCAAGGCCATACACTTCGTGTATGCGGGCGGAGAGGAATCGCCAGGACGCGCCACCGGGTAGCAGCTCTGAAGCCACGTCTAAGACGGCGCCTTAGAGGAGGCCCAAGGTGGCTACGGCTGCCGAGGCATCACCAAGTCAGGGAAGCTGTCCTCAGGGAGAGGTACCCACGATTGATGCAGAGGCCCTTCGCAAGATTATTCACGAGAATGATCTGAGAGAGGCGAAGGCTAAAGAGGGCACTCAGTCTGAGGGCTCCACCAGGTTCGCCGACGAGGCCGGAGACACAGTCCATGGGAAGGTGGACGAACACAAGGCCCAGCAGGGAAGAAGAGCTCAACGAAGTTTTCTTAAACGCTAGGACGAATCCATGGCATCTCTTTGGCTATGGTCTTCGACCAGGCGGGCAACAAGATGTACTCCACCTATGGCGACGCTCTCATTAAGACAACGCCGTGGGACAGCCTGCCGGAGGCCATACGTAAGCTTCTTGGAGGGAAACTACGACTAGGCGAGCTGGAAGCAGCGTCCATGGTGTGGATATGGCATCCACTTCTTCTTGAAGGCGTTTGAACTTAAGCTCCAGGGCAATTACCTTGTCGAGTTGGTCCAATGTGTCAGTCACATACACGCACGGATACCTTTCTCCTTACGAGAAGGCGATTTCGTCGACCAGCGGAAGACGATCCCCGGGACAAAGAACCAAAAGTCGATGATCCTGACTATGCAGCCAAGCTCGCACGTTACAATGCTTTCCTCAAGGAAGGGGGTGTATACTGCGAGATCCAGTATGTAAGGGACGACTTCAGCCTCTTCATCAGTGTGATCTCTGATGCATATGGTCCCAATTTCTTCAGTTGCATACAGAAGAATGCGGGCAATGTGGAGGTCAGGCAGGAGTATAGGATAGTGGCGGATGAGGGGTATGGATTGTACGACAGTACACTCAGGCAGCCCTTCAATGGTCCCTGCCCTACATCCTCGCCTGCCAGGCCTCAGACAAACGACGTCCACGCACGTCAGTTCTGCCTCTGCACGGAAAGTTAAGTCCGTTCTCATTCACCTATGAGGGACTTAAGACCAAACGTGCCAGGGAGCTCGAAGAGTTGTACTCCCGTCCTTACGAGGACATTGCGGTGGAGGAATTTGTCGAGAAGCTCCCTGGTCCTCAGGTCGAGAAAATCCACGAGCCGATGGATACCTCCGGCAGCGTCAGTGACACTTCAGCGGACATACCTCAGGGTGAGATGGCTGATTCGTCCAAAAAGGACGCCACCAATGTACCAAGGGAGACTGACGCACCAGAAAGCTCTCCACCGGGAGAGGCATCTGGAGCAAAGGTCGAAAAAACCGAAGGCTCTCCTCAGGGAGAGGTGTCGGGTGACCAAGATGTGCACATGGGTGGTGCCGAGGAGGTCAAGGACGACGACAGGAATCCATGCCTGAAGTGTCCTCCAGCAAAGATGCCAAAGATGATGAAGTTCTTCACGACCAAGGCATCTGGGGGAGACAGAAAAACGTCATCGATCCGGAGGCGTTCTCTAATTAGTGGAGCCGATCACGGTTCTGAACCGTACAGGGTTCAATGCAATAGGCACTCCTACAGGGTCCTACAGTAAACGCCACGTTGAACGAAACACCGTCTACATACACACTTGCGCAATCCTCGCTCTGACTTGGTCTTGTTTCCAATTTCCTATTTGTAGAGGTGCGGCGCAGCAGGTACGTTTGCACCCCTCCCTGGAGGCGTCTTCATTGGCAGCAGTCCCTGCCTGCAAACGAAACACAGCCCTAAGTAACAGGGTCCCCACACACACACACAAACACTCGTGCAATCCTCCCTCTGGACTG